TGGGTGTGTTTGGCTAAGGTTTCAGTTCTTGAACCAAAACAAATGAGAATCGGACCTAAGACGGTCGATTATATTTTTATTGGATATGCATACAATAGTACTGCATATAGAATTCTGATTCATAAATCAGAAAATCCAGAGGTATCGGTTGGTACCACTATTAAGTCGAGGAATGCTATATTCTTTGAGAATATTTTTCCTTTGAAGGAAAGGGCAGAATCTAGTTCTAACAAAAGGACGTATGAAACTGCTAGCGGTTCTGTACCAGATGGTACTATAGATAAAGAAAAAGAACTGAGACGTGGTAAAAGGGTAAAAACAGCAAAAACGTTTGGACCTGATTTTATTACGTATATGTTGGACGATGAACCGAGTTCCATTAAGGAAGCTCTTTTGCTGATGGAACGATTGATAAGTTTAAAGCAAGATTAGTGGTCAAAGGCTTTAAACAAAAGAAGGGTACGACATCTTTGATACCTATTCACCTGTGACGTGTATAGCGTCAATTAGAGTGCTTCTCTCTATTGCTGCTTTACACAATCTTGAGATTCATCAAATGGATGTCAAAACGGTATTTTTGAATGGTGAATTAGAAGAAGAGATTTACATGGAACAACCCGAAGGTTTTGTAGCACCTGGACAAGAGAAAAAGGTGTGCAAATTGATCAAATCCTTGTACAGACTTAAACAAGCTCTGAAACAATGACATTTGAAATTTGATGACATGATGTTGTCAAATGGATTCAAAATCAACGAATGTGACAAATGTGTTTATGTTAAAAACACATCAAATACATATGTAATTGTATGTCTATATGTGGACGATATGTTGATCATGGGGAGTAGCCATGACGTGATCATGGATACTAAACGAATGTTGAAAAGAAATTTCGACATGAAAGATATGGGTTTAGCTGATGTAATTCTTGGAATAAGAATTATCAGAACCCAAGATGGAATTGTCTTGTCACAATCTCATTACGTAGAGAAAGTGCTCAAGAAATTTAATGCCTATGAAGGTCCTTTGTCTAGGCCACCCCTTGATCTTAGCATAAATCTGGAAGCCAATAAAGGTCAACCAGTTGCTCAATTGGAATATTCACGGATAATAGGGAGTCTAATGTACTTGACGAACTGTACACTACCAGACTTGGCCTATCCGGTGAATAAGTTGAGTAGATTTACGAGCAATCCCAGTCATGAGCACTGGAATGCTTTGAAAAGGGTACTGAAGTACTTAAAGTACACCCTTGAATATGGGCTAAAATACTCGAGATATCCAGCAGTACTTGAAGGGTACTTTGATGCAAGCTGGATATCTGATTCGAGAGATTCTCACTCCACAAGTGGATATGTCTTCTGTATCGGAGGAGACGTTGTTTCGTGGAAGTCTACAAAACAAAACTTGTATAGCTCAGTCAACCATGGAGTCGGAGTTCATAGCTTTAGATAAAGCTGGTGAAGAAGCCGAGTGGCTTCAAAACTTCTTATCTGATATTCCATGTTGGAATAAACCTTTGTCGCTTGTGATGATTTACTATGATAGCCAAGCCGCTATAGGAAGGGCGCAAAGTAACATGTACAACGGTAAGTCTAGACATATTCGTCGTAGACATAATACCGTTCGCCAATTGATCACAAATGGTATTATTTCCATTGACTACGTAAAGTCTAAGGAAAATTTGACTGATCCTTTTACTAAAGGATTGAATAGAGATCAATTGTGAATATTGCTAGAGGGAATGGGATTAAAATTCTAAAATGAAAAGAATGATCATAGTGGTAACCCTACCTTGCTGAATGGAGATCCCATAAACTTGGTTCAAGGGGAAAACTAAGGGCTTGATTGTTTATGGATTAATTCATCCAAAAATGTGAGTTATTTGTATTTGAGTTTATTGGGTGTTATTGCACTTCAAACAAATTAATTCAGCTACTGTACCGTGGGCCCAAGTGTCCCTTGTAAGTGGACAAAATCCACTAGCCGACCCTGTACGCCTCTACTCCCTAGAAGAATAATATTATTTTGTTGTACCAAAATGATAACTACAATTTTGCCATCCCACCATATGAAAGCTTCAAAACAGAATTAAAAAAAATGCATCATTTGTGATAAAAACAAAAATGCATCAGTTGGTGAACAAAACATTGTTTGCGGTTCGATCAATAACAGTGACGAACTACCAAAATATTGTCCATTAATCATCCAAAATACAAATCATTTAACGGTAATTTCAGATAGAAGATTTTAATACTCATTACATCATAATGAATTTGATAAGTGCTACAATAGTTAACAACCCAATGACCACCAAAAAAACACAAACACAAAATGGACATGCAACTTCAAGGAGTGACGGTGTGTCGTTAACATTGTTCGTCCGCCATTGAGACGTGCTTGATGAGTAATTAGATCCACGAGTCGTATGTCCACTACTTTGCGAGTAGATTGCGTAGTATAATATGTTCCAACATTTTCCCTTGCAGAAAAAGAGCTGTTAGTTTCGGTATCCCAACGAAAATTATCGGGGTGTTTCAATCCTTCCGGACACCGAAAAAAATACTTACCATGATTTTTTTCCGTCTTTGCCATGAAACGGTACATCCGACCACGTCCACAAGAACAAAAAGGTGGCTGCGAAACCATGATTTTTGGTCCTATTTTTGTTTCTCGAACTCATCCTTTTATACATAGCATCAGAAATGTTTTCCCTCTTTTTTTCCTTCCAACTCCCGCCAAAATATGCCTGCACTTATCGCAAATCCAGCTGGCAAATGGACAATCAATCTGCTTTTTTTATCAACGTTGCCCATTTCCCAAATTTTACTACCACCTTTCCCACCTTTTTATGATATCACATGCAAAACTGAAAAAAAAAAGATGTCCCATACTTGAACATGGAAAAGAGAAAGGTAATAAATAGATTGGACAAAATACAAATTGCTATCCATACTGTGGGACTTCAGCTGCGGAAAAAAGAAAGGTAGTAATAAATAGATTGGACAAAATACAACTTCATATCCATACTTCGATTAGACCAAACGACGGGCACGACAATAATGCAAATTGAAAGTATGGGAGCACATAACGGAAAAAAAAAATGAAATAGCATTCATATCCAATTCAATAATGCAATATTGTTTGACCTTTTTTAGAACTGACAATGCACGGGCAATAAAATTATTTTATTGTTATGTGTAAGAATGGTTTGTGCCATTATTTGCATTATAGTATCACAAATTATTATTCGGCCTTGTGCATTTGCACATATTTAAATATAAATTAAATAGTATACTTTATTTGTATGCATATAATACAAAAATTATAAGTTAAATAATAATATTATATTTCAAACATGTAGTATTATAACTTATACTTAGGCATATAATATTAAAATTATAAAGGATAATAGTATTATATCTTACAATGACACAGACAAAAATTATTCAAAAAATAATTGTAACCATATAAAAAATATAATATTTATTTTAGTGTAAAATATAATTTTATGTAACTTTTATATATCATTTAGGGTAAAATATAATTACTATTAAATTACTTTAATTTAACATAATTTAAGATTGTAACATAAAAAGATGGTAAACAATAACTAATATTATTAAATTTATTATTAGTGATTAAATATAGATGTAGATGTGTATTCTTATCTGCTATTTGGTGTGTAATTGTACCGTACATATGACCTGTCAGTAATACCTTCATATCCAATTCCTTTTTATCACCACCAACATTTGCCTATATATACGTACATGGTTCACACTTCAAATTCACACCACAACATACATATCATTCTTATTTGTTCTTTTCAATCATGTGGAATTTATCATTGCCACAAACAAAGGAAGAGCATTTCCTCTACATACACGAAGGCTTTTCGAAGAAATGGCTTCCAGCAACTGAGGAAGCTTTTTGTTCCATCCTTCTACATTACATCCGGTCAGAAGGGATGACCATCGAGTTTGACGTATTTATGGCATTTGATGGAATATACCAAACTTGCTTGGGTGAAATTGGGCAACATTTGACTATAGAAGAATGTTATACCACATTCATGGTGTTAAAAGAAAGGTACCGAACCTTCAATATTTTTTAGATGACCCATCTGTTGTTTTGGACGTACACGCAAACACCATATTTATTGAGGAGGACGATCGTGAGGAAGCAATTGAGGTATGTAAATTGTACAACAATTCACTTATTTTATTTTTGATTTATAATTTTCTTGTATATGTAATACATAATGGTAAAATTACATTCAAAATTTTATCATTGTCGTACGTTATTTTCTATCAGCTTTGGCCATTAGCAAAGCATTACTGTAGCAACAATCCCGAGCCTCTATGGGAAACCTTGAAGATGATTTTTGAACCCATACGGCTTGAAACATATCCTGGTGAAATCGAAGCGAATCATGAACGAACCTCTCGCAAGTTGAATCAAGTTATTCGCGACTACTGGGCCGAAGAACGACGTATGGCAGCGCGAAGAAGAAATAGAGGAAATTGATGTGTTTTGTTTATTATAACTTGTGTTTGTACTTTACAAATTTTATCCATATGTTTGTCGCGTTTTTATATATATTTGCCAATCTATTTACGGAAGAATGTGTAATCTCAATTTCGTTGGTTGTTGAAACAAATTTCTTTTTTATATATGGTTCCTAAAAAAAATGTTAAAAGCATGGTGCTACAATATAATGGTCGTAAAAGAATGGTGCTAGAAGTTCAACTCGCCCAGCTATTTGTCGTATAGTGTTGTGAGTAAAAATATTATTTACCCTATTACTAGAAATTGAATACTACATATGTTATTTTATTTTTTTATAGCAAAATATTATCTTATAGTCCACATTACTATTAATTAGGCACATAATACGCATATAACACACAATAATAATTATGCAACATGTCTTCAAAGTTTGAAAAACGACATTAATAATAAATAATAAGTACTACAACATAATTAAATAATATATTAACTAACGACGTCGGCCACCTTCGTTGGCCCATAACGCCGCAGCAATGGAGTCGCGTACACCACACTGTTCACGTACAGCAACTCTAGAGGTATCTAAAGTTGTCATTAAGGGCCGAGTATGATCATCGTCATCGGGTTCTGGTATATAGTCCGGGTCATGTAAAGCAGGAGGTACATTTTCGAACTTTTGGTGATGAAGGATGAAATTATGCAGAACACAACATGCGATAACAATGTCTGTCTGGCATTCAGGCGAGTAGTTTGGCATCAAGCCTTTTATAATGGGGAACTTACCTTTTAGTATACCAAAACTACGTTCTACCACATTCCTGACAGTGGCATGCCGTCTATTAAATAGCTCTCGTGCAGTTTTAGGGGTCTTGTTTGACCGGATCCACTCCGGCAAATGGTACCTATCGCCGCGGTAGGGTGCCATGAATCCCGGCACGTTGGCATACCCCGAGTCAACCACGTAATATTTTCCTGCCATACAAATTAGTTAAGGTGTAGTAAGTTCATATAAGTTTGTAACGTTTTAATAATTTGTAATAAATATACAATAAAAATCATACAAAATGAGTGCAAATCGAAACATAATGTAATCACAGACCTTCCGGCGGCCACGGGAATGTGTTTGTGGGGTCCGTCAATGTTTCAGCAAAAATACGCGCATCATTTGCGCTTCCTTCCCACCCTGCCAAAACAAAAGTGAATTTGCAGTCAAAGTCACACGCCACCATCACATTTTGGGCCAGGTAACCTTTTCGACATCTATATTTGACATGCTCTTCTTCCGGAATATAAGCTGGTATGATGGTTCCATCAATGGCACCGATGCAATCCTGCATTATTACAAAAATAAATTCATGTTATATACATGAAAATGGTCATTAAAATAAAGTTTTGTACAAATATGCGTTCAACCTTAAAGTATGGATATAAATATCGATTATTTCGTATCCAATCTGGGACACGATTAAAATCCGGGGGACGTATGTATTGTGGAGCCATTTTCAGCAAGCCATTCAGCATGATTTGCACATGGTTACTAACTGTCTCGGTAGAACGTCGAAATGACTCTGCAGAACGGCGATGCCTTTGGTGTCCTTTTATTGTATGCAAGAAAATTGCAACGCTTTCTTCAATGCGGACTTTTTGTTGTCTTGCTTCGCCATGACAACCTGTTTGTTTAATTTCTTTGCACAACAATTTGAAAACATACTTGTTCAAACCCATTGCATCATAGAACCTCCGATCGTGGCCCGTAAGTAGTTCATTAACCCAGTCCGCCCCAGTGTACGTCGACTGCCGGTAGGGGACTCGTGGAATGGACGGGTTATATTGGAACGCTTCATAAACATGCATCAGTTGTTGGTGTTGTAACTGAAGTATATTATTGAACCGCTGCAAACGGGATACACGCGACGGTTGAACATCATTGTTAACACCTTCATCCATGTGGTCATTAGCGTCCTCGGAGTCTTCGTGTTCGGCATCATCGTAATCATCATTGGCGTTCGACATCCTACAAATTGAAATTTGTACGACCATATTTTTTTCTAAGTAACAAATCACATTGAAACAAAGCAACATGAAATACCACCAAATTGGAAAAAGAGTTCAGTCAAATAAAGGAAAAACAAAGGTCAAACACATAAAGTCACACAACAACCAAATACCAAATAAGAGCAATCCAAATGCAGCAAGAACGAAAAAGAAACACATCAAGTACTGGAAAACAACAACATCCCTAAAATGCCCCGTCATCCATCCACATGTCTAGAAGCGCACGTTTGTTTTCTTCCATTTCGAGGCCAAGAAACGTGTACAAGCTCATCGGGTCCCGAAACTTCTTCCATGCTACCTTCCTCACTGGCACAGGGACATTAGACATGGACTCCAACTCTCTCAAAGCTTTTTGGAGGTTCACTTGATCTGCTTCCGGCTGAGCGTGTTGTTGGATAATGCGGCTTGTTTCTGTTATGGAATTCATGGCCGTGTCGAAGGTGGAAGTGGCCCCTTTACGCCGACGGATCGCCCTATTACCCTCTGGGGAGTTCATTGGCTCGTCACTCAACTCATCAGGGAACAAGTAAGTGGGAGTTATAGGCGACTTCATTCTCCGACCCGTGCACATTCCCTCAGGAGTTTGGGTAGATGCCCGTGCTCTGCTGCCAGTTGCAGTTGTCCCAAGGAAAATAGTGGTAAGCTCGCGGTAGTGCAAGCAAACTTTTTTCTTCATCTCCCCGTCCTTTGGATGACCCTGTTTTTGGACAAAAAATTATTTCAACAATAAAACAGAATGCCTCGAAATATTATCGGGCCAAAAAAACCACTTCATCAGAATATATCAAGCACCTCAAGTTCCTTTAATACAACCAGCAAAGTAGCTTGTATATTTTTTTCACCATATTGAAGATAATATTTGGCTTCAAAAAATAGAGTAACCTCAGCAGAAAAAACAGAGAATACACAATTGTATATCAAATCCACATGACAGAAGGAGACTCACAAGAGATGAAAAAAAAAATCATATAAAAATAGGAAACATAATATATCAAGTATCAAAATGAAACAACTTTACTAACTGTGATCCACCTGCCCCAAACATCTTCGCCACCAGTGATCTTCCCTGTCGAAGATTCCCAACCAAAGCCGGTTTCTGTAGTAAGCATTGTGTGGAACCGACGCCACTGCACTTTCAAACGGTCATGCTTACTCGTGATTTGTGTTATCTCATATGCCTGTTCCGGACCACACGCGTTGTTCAGTTGTTTCTGGATTTCCATCCAATGACATGTTTTGAATTTCTGGCCTGTGCAATTGCCCAGGATAATTTGGTCCAGCATCAATGATATTAGCCGATATTCATTCTCTGCAGACCACTTTGCTTCTCCTTGCTTCGATTTCGAGCTCCCAACCTCAACGGAATTCGACATCTACAGTTTGTGACCGACAAACAACTCCCACATTGTGTTGTTTATTTGAAGACAAAAATATAACATGACCAACATTGTTGTACAAATGAGACATAAACCAGAAAGACAACAATATGGCTCTGTTATGTCCAACGAAATCGCAAAAAATTTTGGGACGAACACTGAAAATTCAATAAAGGGGAACCTAGACAACAAGGGATTGCAGTACTTTTTTTTTTTTTTTTCAAAGTAATTGTTCTCATTCCCTCAACAGACACACAGATGAAGTTTGATAATAATTGTTATTAGGAAAAAAAACGTATAACATATAAATGCAGAAATCCCCAATTTTTTTAGGGCTGAACCGATAAAAACCAGCAAATCACATAAACAACAGAAAAAAAGCAGCAAATCCGAATATGTATCTCAATAAGAGCAGCACTTGCGATAGGAATCATAAAAAGCAACTAACCTTCCTTCTCTGTTTTCTTTTCTTCTCAGGCGAGGTCACCGACACGCTGCCGGTGCTTTCTGTACGCGGATCTGTCCTCTTCACTGGATCTTCCGGCGAACGAAAAGGTGGACTGACTTCCGGCTGGGAGGTGAAATGGTTGGAGGTCATTGTTTTTGCTAACAGAAGAGGGGTAATTTATGGAAGGAGGTTGTATTCTCTGTATCTCTCTCTCGAGCCTTTCGTCATTTTCAATTCAATTGAAAGACAGATATGCAGTACAGTTCAGTAATGGGGGGACAGAAGGTAGATGGGGTAGGACCCACATAATAACATCAAGAGTCAAATATTCCGTAGACAAACAGCCCATATCTCAATTTTATGGAATAATTCAATTTGAGTAAATAAATCCATATCCAAGCGCGCCCTAAACTATGAAAATTTAGCTAAGCACTTAGAACATTAGAATGTCCAAATCTATTCCCTAAAGCAATCCAAGTGCAAGATTACCTGTTGATTGTGGTGAGGGTAAGTCGTATGAACTTTTAATGAATCCCTAACCTTTTAAAGGTGGAGTAATACAGGATACTCTTGATATGGAGGTCACCTATATAAGTGTGAAGTGAGGGTCGCTTCAATTGTAAACACTTATGAATCCAAAGTGTTGTCCATGGACAAAACGGACACAACAATAGAACGGAATGGAGTTAAGGCTCTATTGTGTGATTGTCATTGTCTTGGTGTACACTATGGAGGAATAGTTCAAGGCACTATATCCACTAAGCCGCCAGTACATTCGATGATGTTTACTAAGAAAGGTTCAAAGCCACAAGCTACCTTTTCTGATGCAATAGAGTCTTGTGAGAATTGAGCACAAGAGTCTGCATACATGCATACATTTGATTTCCACTCATGTGGGGGATTGTTGGAAAAATCAGTCATAAAACTTGGGTTTGACCCGATTGTGACTGAATTTTTTATGGCTAAATATTTAATATGAGTTGAATTAAATATTATAAAATAATTCTACGTTCCGAGTAGATACTCGTGGTATATTTATTTTCTCAAAACTGATTTTAGGTGAGTGAGAAATAAATTGTTAAAGTTAGCCATAAAAGGGCACGTAAAACGTTGGTTATGGGAATTGAAGGGTCAAGAGTCACTCCCACATTGGACTCTAAAATGAGTTTAACTCTCTTTATTATAATAAAGAGAGTTGGAGAGGTTACAACAAGCACAAAGCTATGCACCAAGTGTTGGTGTTGTTTTCGGCCACATGCGCGCGCACGCCCGCCGGCCGGCCGACTCGGGCTCGGGCTCGGGCATGGGCCCGGGCCTGGGCCTGGGACCTGGGACCTGGGACCAGGGACTTGGGGCTTGGTCCTTGGTTCATGGTTCTTGGCAATTAGACTTTGGGCTGGACTTGGGCGGCCTTGGGCGGTTGGGCCTTGGGCCCAATCACTATATATCTTTTTGCTGCAAATTTATTTGCAATTTTAGGCCCAACTGGAAAATCCAATTTTGATTTGGATTTGGGTTTTGACCCAACCCGAGTGAAACCTCTCCAGGTACAATGGATCTGGACACATGACCTTTCATGTGAAATGTAACACCTGACCTTTCATGTGAAGTGTTAATGGTGTTGATTACCAGTTAATGGTGATAACTCCTGGTTAATTGTGAGTTAACACCTGAAAAATGTTTCTGCCCGTTATCTCTGCCTTTAGTGGCAGATGTGACTGCTGGTTTCCCTCAAGATGTGGAAGTCCTATAAATAGGACCTTGAGTTGCAGTGAAATCATACAACATTGCATGCACTCTGAATACTCTCAAAAGCCTCACGCATCATATCATACTACTTTGTTCTCGACTTCATTCCAGTTCGTCGGAGCTCGAATTCTGGTGTGCTACAGTATTCGAGACGTAAGCCGTTGTATCTTTGGGGACGAGACGCCTGAACCCGTCAGCACTATACGGGGCCTTTTTGCCTTGCGGAAAGAACAATCACCTCGGCTATTTTCGCTTTCTCTTTTGTAATTTTTTCGTTTCTGTTTAAGTTCAAATTGTAAGAACTGAACACTTCAGTCAGTTCATAGGTTCCCCTTGTAATTCAAAACACGCTTTGTGTAACAGAGGTTTTGCTCCGTTCGTCCTAATTCTGTTCGTTCATTCGGTCCCGTTAACTTGTAGATTCGTGATCAAAGGTATCGTTCGAGCTGCTCTTGTAATTTCGTGCTTAATCTATAATGCTTATTCATCCAAAGAATCGTTATGTGTTTGTCTTTCGATTGATGATTTCGGTTGAATAATATTTGGATCGTTTCGTTCATCGGGCCCTGAGATGGTAATTTTCATCATGAAACTGTTGGAACTCTCATTCGTGTAAGTCAAGTTGGGTTGTTGTGTGCATTTTCGTGATATTTTCGGAGTGTCTGTCATATATTCTTGGATTTGCCATTTGTTCGTCTTGTCATTTGAGCCACGTCAATGTTTTTATTTTGTCCATTATGGTAGTCGTTTTAAATTTCAGATCCTTTGTTTATTAATGTTAGTAATCTGATCAAATTCTTATGAGGATCTGCAAAGTGTTTTCATAAAAGAAAAAAAAAAAAAAAATAGAAAATGGTACTCTTAATCTTATTAAAGCTCAATTATACTAATCAGTGAAGCTTTCGATGCGCATATGATCAAGTAGATTTAAATAGAGTTTGTGTTCATGCTAATACTTGCTTGAAATTATTGTTTAGTTAATTCAAAAGGCACATATATTTACATGGTGCGCATCCATGTGTTTTTTTTTTTTTTAATTTTCTTTGCTTTATGTACCTATTAGTTGAGTAGGTTGTAAAATACTTTCTGTACTAATTATTTTAATAGTTGAAGCCCTTTGTGTATTGGCTAAATAGATTTATATGTATTTATTAGTTCAATAATCATGTCAAGATATTGTCAGTATGCTTGAGTTAGAAAATTTATGTGATTTTCTTTGTTTATTTAGACCAAATTATGTGCTCTTATATGCAGTATGTGTTATGTTTGTTTTAATGTGTCGTTCTGTATGTAAATCAAAACCTTAATAAAAAGATTTAATAATAAAATGTAGGTTCTTGAGGAGTCGAGCCTCACCAACCTACCGAGCTATTTTTGTGTAATATTCTACTTCGATATCCAGGTGGGTTGTAATTGTAAAATTTGCTACGCCTAAATTAATTGTTTTGGCTGTTGTATGATCAAAGTTTACATGTGAACCATGTAGTCTTCGATGTGAGCTATATTGGCCGTCGAACGGTTATCCCCGTAGCTATAGAATGTATCTTCGGGTAGTCTCCTTTAATATTGTTGACAGTCAGGGCGTGAGCCTTGGCTGGTGATCCTCGTATGTAAGGCCAAGGCGATAGTTTTGGCATTCGGGGTGGATTATTGCTCCTGCTGGCCGGGCACTCGTCGTAAGGCCTTCGAGGAAGGCATTCAGTATATAGCTCGTCAGTAGTCTATTGTTATAGGTGTGCACATGAGACCATTATTGATTATTGATAGGAGATAGGACAATTATTGATTCCTATACATGTTGCGACCATACTTAAATTGTTTTCTTGACTATTGAGATTAATTATTGCATAGCGGTGAGCACCTCGACTTTCCTATTGTGCTCATCCCCACCTGCTCTTCATGGATGCAGGTTAGATAGAGCGGCACGGCAGAGGGGATGCATGTTGTGGTCTTTAATTTGAAAAGATAAATGCTTCCACTGTGAACTGGACTTGGATATTATTGCGTTATGATTGATTATTTCTTTTCGTTAGTACTGGATTACTGAATTATTGGTACGGCTTATATCCCTTGGATTATTATCGGATTATGATTGATTGTTGGGATTCTCATATGGATTATGAGTATTGATTATTGCTGAGTATTGAGGATGTGTTTAGTATTGATTATTGTTTGAAAATGAGTAGCGCCTCAAATAAGTGTCTTTAAAAATAAATTTTAAAAAAAAAATTATTCTAACTATCGGTAAATAAAAGTGGGGCGTTACAACACAATCCTAAAACATCCTTAATTTGAAATCACGACCCACATTCATTTGCAATCAAATATGTCAGTGAACAGATCAAATGTATCCATGATCAAATCGAATATATCCACCATCAAACCAAATAATTCCTCGATCATATCAAGTATATCCACGAACAAATCAAATAATCCCTCGAACAAATCAAATAATCATTCATAAATAAATTCAACAATATTCCATAAATAAATCAAATATCATCCCGAACAATCAAATAATACTCCACGAATAGATGAAATCAAATAATATCCATGAATAAATCAATCTCCTCGTCCAAATCAAATAATATCCACGAATAAATTAATCTCCTCGACCAAATCAAATAGCTACGATCAAACATAATTGTCCACGAAAATAATTCCACGATTAAGTTAAATATTGCTCCACAAATAATATCTTCACGAGTAAACCAAATATTTCCATGAGCAAATTATACAGTCCAACACGAGCAAATAAAATAATCTTCCATGAATAAATCAAATAATTTCACGATCGAGTCAAATATTACAACGAACATATCAAATGATTCCACAACTAAATCAAGCATCTTCACCGAGAAACTCATAATTTATCCACGAATAAACTAATTAATTCCCCATTATCACAAATTTAAAAATCCTCGAGCTCAAAATTTAAATCCACTCCATACCTTCATCATGAGACTGCTAATTAAATTTACCTCCCCGACCTCGTTGAGTTCTCCTGAGTTGGTCTTGGGCACAAAATGGGACTGTTGGGTCAAGTTGGACAGGTTTAGAGCGCTGTTGGACCCTTTGGGTGGTTTAGAGATGATTTGACCCCAACATGGGCCGTAGGGGCTGGTGGGCCGCGACCAGAGAACACTAGGCTGCAGATGCACGCTATTGGGCCGGGAAATGGGCTGCAGGACGCGGGCATCCCGAGGGCCTGACGCGGGCTGAAAGCAGTGTGTAGCGCATGCTAGAGTACGGGCTGAGCGCGGGCTTGCGCGGGCCAGCGGTTGTGACGGGAGCGGGCCCCGCGGGCTGGACGCGGATCGCATGTTGGGGTGGGCAGGAGGTTGGGCCACTCACTGGGCATTTTGGTTGGGCTCTTCAACTACAATGGCGTAGGGGCCTTC